TGTCAGACTCCACAACAAAGACTTTTGCAGCTGATAAAACCCTCACACGTGCAATAAGACTGCTATATGTGCAATTCTTTTTCTGACAAGTTTTACTTTTGTATTTTCTTACTCAGTTGTATATAGCATTTGTATTTTATTTTATTCTATTGTATATATTATTTTATTTTATTCTATTGTATATATTATTCTATTTTATTCTATTGTATATAGTATTTTATTTTATTTTATTGCATTCCAGTGTTTTCTAATTTCTGCTACATAACTTTGCACTTTTGCTGTAGCAAAACAAATTTCCCACCTATGGGACTAATAAAGCTCATCTTATCTTATCTTATCTTATCTTATTTATTTAAGCTCAATTTTTAAAACCTTAGGATGTAACTACAGCCCAGCCCATGCAGCAGTATATGAATGACTAACCTCGTATTGTGGAGGGATTATCTCAGTTGTTCTCCTGGCTGAAGTTCGTTTACAGCATCCTACCATGCGATTACATTTGTTCCTGACCACCGGGAATCCTCACGTTAACTTTTATTGAGTGGACAAAAGTTAGCGTGTTTATATTATGCTCACATAAGTGTGTCGCTAGCGGTCACGTACCACATCATTATATACCAGCTAGCCAAACTTCAGTAACCCTACAAATGTCACTGCTGTTTAGTTTTCTGTTTTCATTTATGTTGGAAGTGATAGCAGAGCTGTACGTTTGAATTTGTTTCCAAAATCCCTCAGTTAGGACATTATATATTATATTTAGATGGAAGCTAGCGAGGTAACTTCCTGCTAACTTATAACTCTGTTAAATGTCATAAATTCCGTTTTCACGGATGCCTGGATTGATGAACTCAATTGTTACACCTGGTAGAGCAGAACGCTGATCATTTTATTACAGATGAAAGACTTTAGACAGTTTTTCAACTCTCAGTGATGCCACAGTGATCGTTTGACTTTGGGACCTGCAGCGGAGTTTGAGCCCAGACATGGCTAGTGACGTCAGACTTTACGACCAGATAGCAGCATAACAAAGGGATGGTTCAGGGTCACCTGATCCAGCTCTAACTATAAGCTTTATCAAAAAGGAAAGTTTGAACTCAAACTGGGAGCTGCTTCCACACTAAGTCCAACATAGCCAGGCTGAGCCGTTAGATTAGTCCAAAGTAAAGTCAGAAAGTCATTATTTGTGTCACATTTTAGTGGAAATGTAGAAAAACTATCCAAATTTATTCCTAAATCTGATATTAAACAGTTTAAATGGTGAAAAAAGTTGTGATGAAAACAGAAAGAGTCAATAAAAGCCTCTTTAGAGGGTCACCAGTTTAAAACTCAGATATTTAAACTGGTGATTCTCCTTCTCTGCTCCATTTCATCTCTAGACTTCCCAATCCTAGGAGGGATTTGATTGGCTGAAGGTCCTTTTACCCTTTCTTTAGTTCTTTGGGTGCTAATCAAAGAGGAAAACACATGAGTCATGTGACGTGACATTAGGAGCGCTCTGATTGGTTGGGATTCACAAACTATGGTGCTATTTGCAAGCGTAGCATTGCAGTGCCAAGACGATCTCTTAAATAGGGATGAGACGCTCTACACTGACGTTTCCACACTTTGGAGCTTCTGAAGTGCAGATGTTTGGAAACGCTGCTCCAACGCGTGGTTCAAACACTCAGATTATGTGACCTCTGTCATGATATGCGTGAACAGTTGTTGTCTAAGGTGCAGTTCATATGGAAAGCACCAGAGGTTGGTGTTGAGCACATAATTAAAAGTGATGGCAAAACCTGAAAGTCATGTCTGCTCCCTTAAGCAATATCATAACATATTGATGATATGTTATCATCAATATGTTATTGTTATTGTTATTGTTATTGTTATTATTATAGGGCTGGTTTCATTTGCATAATGACTGAAACCAGCCCACTGAAGTCATTATGCAAATGTACTGTTTATAAGATTGGGGAAACCTGCAGTCAGCTGAGACTGAAGAAGTCACTTGGATGAGTGACGAAACGTTTCTCCCACAAAACGCTACGTCCAGATGAACAGAATCAACTTTTGGAGATGTTGAAGGCAGCGAGCTGTGACTGCTGTGAACAGTTTTCTCACACTATTTTCTCCGTGTCAACATACATGAGGCTGTTTCAGCTGCTTAGTTATTCAGTGCAACACACCACAAACACCTTTATACAACTAACTATACTGAGAGCACACTGCTGTGGTTCTGTGGTAACCATCCATATATTCAGCTGTTTTGGGGCCGAGTCTCCTTCCTCATCCTTTGGGGAAAAAAAACCCTCAAAGTTTGAAATGTTTTTGACTTGAAGCTTTTTGGGATTTGGTTTTATTTGTTGTTCTACACACTGTGAAACAAAGCTAGAAGCCACTATGGTACAGCGGGGGACTCAAACCCAGGGCCCAACCTGCTCCAACAACGGCCACAGTCAGAAGGATTTTATTAAGTCTAATTTTCTGTTTATTAGGAAAAAATCAATAATGAAGAGCACACATTTATAGAGGCACATTCAGACCAATGACAACAGTCCATTCACACTGACCTGATCAAATACAACCCAACATATTAAACATCAATATGTTCCAGTTACCACAAATTATATAACTTATACTGATGGTTCATTATGCTCAGTGTCTCAATACTGGCATGTTAAATAGAAATAGAAACACAGATAAATATGTTGAAGTTAACCACTATAATGAATCAGAAAATAAAATAACAGTGATTCTAATAAATTCCAACTCAGGATTTTGATTTCCACTGGATATTTCCTGCAATTAAAGTGCAATTAAATTGTGGACATTCACTTTTAAACTTTGTGTGAAACGATAAAACCTAAAAGTCTGAGTATTATTCTTTATGCAAACAGCTCTAGCAGGTTATGATAATAATAATAATAATAATAATAAAAACAACCTTTAGTTTGAGCAGCGGTTCAGTCTACTAAACTCATCCGAAAAATAACAAGTGACCCCATCAATAGTGCAGCTACCTTTAACAGGTGGAACTGATTTTACAAGTAAGGCTGCTCCGGTTACTTCTTATCAGGGTTAGTAGGGTAAGGAAGACATCTGGATGATGTAGTTAGTAGTAGGTAGTTAGTAAATGCGAGTCCCCTCCCCCACATCAGCTCCAGAACCCTGTATTATCTACTGGGTAAGACTCCCTGTTTTATCACACTATGGCCATTACTACTGTGATCATTTGAAGCCCAGTGTGCTGCTCTCTCTGCTCGGATGAACCACTGGAGCTCACCCAGTCATCCCCTTCCTTCTCTCGAGAAGAAGTGAAATAAATATATTTATTATGTTACGAGTCTAATATTCTTTAAATCAAACTGTAATGAATGAACTAAGAGCTCTGTAAAAACCTTCAGAATACACAAAGACTACAAACAGAGCAAAATCAAGCAAGAAACAATCACCAATAATCACCTGATTATATTCCTAAAGAAATCAATTTATACATTATGACCACAAAGGAGCCCACAATCTTTAAATTAGCCAGTACATGATGTGTTTTTTAAATAAACAAACATGATTCTAACGATTTTTAAAAGTAATTCAGAGTCAAATAATCAACTCAAATATAAATAAAAGCCCACTTGAAAGCTTTAGAAAGGTTACCTGTTTATGCAATAATATAATTAACATTTTAAATAACATCTGTGGAAAGGTTTGAATCCTGACCTGAGAGTTTCCACTGCACACTGTGAGCTCTTTAGTCCAGCAGACAGAAGCTTCACTCCTGAATCCTGCAGGTCACAGTTACTCAGGTCCAGCTCTCTCAGACTGGAGGACTGGGAGCTGAGGACTGAGGACAGAGCTTCACAGCTTCTCTCTGACAGGTTACAGCCACTCAGT